TCCAAAAACATTGTTACAGCACAATCAGAGAATTTAAAATTCACACTCACTCTCAGCTTTTGATTGCAAAAGCCAAGGTTCCTAAGAAAGAGGGCAAAATACCTCGAGGATACCCTGGCATGATCAGTGAGAGGCCCCTTTTCCGCCTCACCCTGGGGGAGCACACTGGGCTGCACAGTGGGAGAAGGAGGGATGGAGGGAAGTGCAGCATCAAACACCTGTGCACCTCTGAGAAGGAGCTGCTGCCATACCCTTGGGTGAAGCCCCTTGGGGAGTACAAGAGACATATTATATACATTAACACTTTGTTTATTATGTACATTAATGCTTCCCATATTTATGAAATAAACTGGTGAGATACAAACTATTTCCTTTTTCCTTCATAAATACAAATGGGCAACTGTGTACCGGAGTGATATTAGAAGAATGCAGCATGAAAGAGAGCAAAGCAGCAAAAACAACAAAAAAGAGGGAGAGGATTGTGTGTGTGTGGGGGGGGGGGGGGGGATGGTGAAGAAGGAGATTTATTTAAGGAATTGGCTCACACAATTGTGGAGTCTGGCTCATCCGAAGTCCTCAGGACAGGCTGGCTGGCTGGAGATGCAGGGAAGGGTTGGCATTACAGCTTAAGTCCAAAGACAGCCTGGAGACAGAATTCCCTCTTCCTCAGGGGACCTCAATCTTTTCTCTCTTAACATCATCAACTGACTGAATGAGGCCCAGCCACATTTTGGAGGGCAATCTGCTTTACTCAAAATCTACTGATTTAAATATTAATCTCACCTAAGAAATACCTTCACAGTAATGTCTAGACTAGTGTTTGACCAAATATCTGGGTACTGTGATCTAGCCAAATTTACACATAAAATTTATCACTTTAAACATTAAAACTTTCAGCAGAAGGACTGGAGAATAAAATTTAGGACATCTATCAAAATGGAAAAAGAAGAGAAAGAAGACGGGATATATGAAAGCAAATGAAGGATGGAAGTCTTCAGATTGCAGGGAATCACAGAACGGCCAGCACAGTTAATAAAAAATGAAAGCTATCTAAAAAATTCTTCTGAAATTTCAGAACGTCAAAATAGAGAAAAAATTCTAAAAATTTTTAGAGGGGAAAAAATTACTTCCAAAGTCATACGAATCATATTGGCATCAGAATTGTCATTAGCAACCACTGGGGCTTAAAAGACAGTGATGCAATCTCTTCAAAATTTAAGGAAAAATGTTAATACCTGACTTTGAATTCTGTTCCCAGGCAAACTGTCAACCGAGTAAGTCAGGAAGAAGGGTTTTCAGACGTGATGACTCAGAAAGGCTATCTCCCACATATTCCTGTTTAGAGAGCTATTTCAAGATTTACTCCAGCAAGTTAAGAGGGTAGAAAAAGTATCAAAGGAGACTGCTCTACATATACATATCTGAAACCAAACAGCCAAGTTTATGACTTGCTAAGCAGGCGAGAATGGTGGGTGTTGAATGCAGTCTCTGAGCAAAGCAAAAAGCAGACTTTTCTACAGGTCCTGATGAGGGTGGAGTTAGGGACTGGCTGACTTTAGAAGCACACTAGAGCGAAGTGTCCGCTCGACGGGCAACTGTAGGATGCCTGAGTACTTACATAAAGCTATCAGTGATGGACTGGCATAGGTTTAAAAGCTGTTCTGAGGTATCTTGTTTATGACTTGGGTTTTGGGCAAAATAACAAGTCAGAATTTTGGGCAAAATAACAATTAGTATTTTCTTTTCTTGATCTTGGAGAAGAGGAAATTTTATTCTCAAAACAAAGAGGATGGTATAGGCCCAGGAAAGGTAGAGCCCAGCAAGAGAAGAGAAGTCCCAACTACTTAGCCCTATGGAATCAGGAAGTTGGAAGTCTGCAGGAGAGAGGTACTTAGTGCAAAAGGAGATTGAATAAAATATTAGGTCTGTTTGAGAGTTTGGGGAGAAACGCGATGTAGTGTAGCATCACAGATAGAAACACAAAATTTGGGAGTTGACTGGCTGCGCTTGAGCCCCATCTCTGCTGGTTACACATCTCCACTGTGTGACCTTGAGCATGCTGCTTAATGCCTCTCTGCCTCTCTTGCTTCGTCTGTAACTTGACCATAGTAATAGTATCTAACTTGAAGAGATGTTGTGAGGAGTGCACAATGTGTATTGCCGTCTATTGCTTTGTTACAAATTACTGCAAAATTTTGTGGCTTAAAACAACGATAAGCATTTGTTATCTTTCACAATTTCTGTGGTTCAAGAAGATGGGAGAGGCTTGGCTGGGGAGACCTGACTCAAGGTCTCCGATGATGTGTCAGTGAAGATGATGGGGCTAGACTGGATCACTCACTGGCTGGCAAGTTAGTGCTGGCTGTTGAGAGGAGAGCTCAGTTCCTCTTCCTGTGGGCCTCATCCAGAGATGCTGAAGTGCCTTATGACATAGTGGCTGACTTCCTCCAGAGCAAATGATGGGGAAGAAGAGCCTGGAAGAAGCTATTTTCTTTACAACCTAGTCTCAGAATCACGTTGCATCACTTCCACCCCCATTCTACTCAGTAGAACGAATCATTCTGTCTAGCCCACATTTGAGGGAAGGGGGGATACAAAGGGAGAAGCGTCAAAGAAATTACACAGATTTTAAAACTGTTATATATGCAAAGTGTATAGAACAATCTTTGACATAACCTAAGTAATGTATGTGTCTGGTATTGTTATTATCTTTATAAAAAGTAGACACTTATGTTGTTTAGCTTCTTGGTTGTTGATGTAAAGAAATATGTTTGACTTTTGCACGTTTAATTTTTTATCCAATATTTTGAAAAACTGTCTTATTAATTTGAACAATTTGTTCACGGGATTTTGGGGAGGGGACTTTTTATGAATTCAACCACAATATTGGCAAATAAAGAATATTTTATTTCTTACTTTCAAATCCCTTCATATTTTACTTCTTCGTCTTGTTTGACTGTACCGGCTAGGGTCTCCGGAACCCTGTTGAGAGGGGTAGGGATAAGGGGAATTCTTGGCTTGTCCCTGATATTCAAGGACATACTTTCGACATTTTAATTTTGATGTTGGTAGGATGCTTTTTGCAGATGCCCTTTGTCAGTTAAAATGTTTTCTTCAGGATATAACTTGAGACTTTGTTTTTTTTTTTTTTTTTACCATGCATGGATAGTAAATTTTATTTTATTTTTCTGAGGCTGCTGATTTTTGTCTCTTTGAATGTAAATGTGGTAAACTACATCTTTACTTTCCTCTTCTTCTTTGGATCATCCTAGAGCTAAGTAGGGTCCCATCTGGATGTTTCTGAGTGAAGTAGACCAGGAGTCAGGGCCAAGTCCACTCTGAAAGTTGATCTTTGGTTATTGATTGTTCACAGTTTTGTCTCTTGCAAATCCCTTTCTAGATGGCAAAGTTGACAATTCAGTATATGCATTTATTTTTAAGCATTCTTTTCTAAAGTTAATTTTTTTCTACCGTGCGTTTGGTAAAAACATTCTCTCAGTTTTGGCAGAAAGAGCTCTCAGTAATAAACCTTCCATAGTGCACTTCCCATGCAATGAAACAGTTAATTGGGCCTTTCTGTAGAAAATGCCAAGGAAGAATTAATATGGAAAATTTACATTTTCTAACTTGTTTGAAACAGTGGCTTGAAATATACACACGCACACACACACACGCACACATTCAAGCAAGCAGTGACTGAACTTAAGAATAGAAACAGACTGGCTTCCTGCGTTAGCCTTTCAGTTGATGTGTTTCACAATCGTTAGCTGTTTTTGCCTTGAGTCGGAAGGTGTACCCGTGGAGAAGCATGAGTTCTGCTTTCCCTCAGGGCTCCTGTGAACAAAACATAACATCACAGAGCTGGAGCGACGGCCGTACACTAGCCTGCATTCAGTAAAGCAGAAACAAAGCCTTATTTTACAAGTTTCCTTCTAAAATAAAAAAAAAAAAACACACACAGAAAGTAGCTTTTCTGTTTTGCCTTGGAATTGAGCCCCATTGACCTTAAAAATTTTACCTCTTCCCCTATTTAACACTCCAGCAGGTAAGAATTACTGGCAACTAGCCAGCTGGAAAAGTAGGAGAGCCCCTCTGAAACTCACTTCCCTTCTCTTTTTGACTGTCCTGGAAGTGGTTCATCCTCTGTCCAGCGGTCAGGATTTTCAGAACATCAGGCCTGCTGTCATAAGCAGCTGCAGGTGGCAAATCCCAATAAATGTCAAATAAATTGTTGATTTCACTCACTTTGCATCCTGTGTCTCTCCTAGGAGAGTGAGGGTTGGTTTAAAGAAGAGAGTGTATGGGAAAAGCTGGCTGAGTCTTTGTACGTGTTGGCAAGGCATAAAGAAGGGCAAAGCTGGCAAGAGACAGAATAATAATTACTACCATGCTTGGACTGCCCAGTATATGCCAGACATTTATAAACATAATTTCATTTATTCCTTTACCACTCCAGGGAGCAGGCATTGTTATCTCCAGTTTACACATGAGAAGCTGATGCTTAGAGCAGTAAAGTAAATTTTGCTTCGGTTAGTGGTTGAGCTAGGATGTGAACACAATTCTATCCAAGTTTCAAGTCCACGCTGTTCCTTGCCTTGGTCATTCCAGACAATACATTTTCATTTACACCTCCTTGTGCTTGAATACGTTGCCAATGTACATATCTAAAAGTACAAGCAAGTTTTAACAGTCAAATATAATGGTAAATGAACTAGAATAATCAGTTATATGCGTGTTGAGTAATACTGCATCCTGTACTATGTTGACAAATGCCTCCCTTTTTGCGGTACTATGGTGAGACAGTGTCTTGCCAAGTGTTCCAAATTCAATAGGTTGTGGATTTTAATAAACATTCCCTTTAGGCAAATAAGCAGCACAATATTTTTTTTAATGGATCATTAAAGACAACATTCTGGTGTCAAAGAGCTTTCAGAATTCAAAAGTTTGATTGGTCATCACTTGCTTACGATCATGAACAAATTACCAACCAGTAATAAGTATACCAGCTCCAACAATTTTATTAACTTCAAATGATACCACCTGCATTAAAACTGTTAGAGAACTAACAGACCTCCTTTCAATAGATACTTGGACAACTGGTTGTTACATTTCCAAATTTATGTTTTTGAAAAAAATCATTCTGCTTTTATTTTTGCAAGCAACTCTTTTTCTATAAATAGCTGTGAATACAGGCCTTCTGGAATTCAGAGAACTACACCGTTTACAAAAGCGAGATACCTCTATGAAATGCAAGAGTCTAATTTTATGGACTTCCAACTTTTTTCTGAGGAAGTTGTGAGAAGAGAGGAGAAACTGGCTGTATCCTGAGGGATATGTCCATAATGGTGAATAAATGAAGGTAAGCATGGTGTTTCCATCCTATTAAGGAGGTAAAAATTGTGAGTTAGATTGACCTTCAATTTGGAATAACTATATAAATAAGCAATCAAAGAAGAAAACTGTAATTTTATTTGATATAGCTTCTCCAGTTTTATTTCATGCATTCATTCATTTATTAATGTTATTTACTCAATAAACAACCAACAATTATCAACAACTGACAATTTCCCAGGATAGAGTGCAAGGGAATTTTTTGCTTTTGTGGAAAAGGGACAGAAAAGAGATGTGTACAATGTGTGGGACACTTAGGAAGAATGAAGTAGCATCCTGTAAGGGGACCTTCCATCCAGTATGGTTATAAGAATCTATCCTCTCCATTTTTTTAAGGATTCATTGTGGCACATAATAAATACTTAGAAAGCATCCAAATAATTTAAATATGTGTAAAGCAAAAAGTGAAAGTCTCTTCTGATTCGTTTACCCAACTCTGACAATTTTTACTAAGTGTATATCCATTGAGACTTTTCTTATGCTTATATACAAATACATATTCGTAAAGATGTTACAAAATGACATCACGGTATATGTATTTTCCTGCTTCATTTCTATTACAATGTTATGGTCCTCTTCCTCTATCAGTGCATTTAAATCCACCTCATTTTTTTTAAACAGATGCAGAGTATTCTATGATATAAATACATCACAATTAATATAACCATTGCCTTATTCATGGATATTTATAGTGTTTTTATTTTTCCCCTTATTGGTAGGAACTTCCGGTTCCTATCAATATAGTAATCATCATGAGCTTGTAAATTCCCTTCTCCCAAATCAACACTGAAGAAATTGTAGAGGGAAACTTGGACTCAACTTAAAAATGTGAGACAATCTAGGGGGGATGAGGGCTGCTTTGAATAATGTGGAGGAAGCTGCGGTCGTGTGAGGTAAAAGGCAGCTCTTGTAAGTGTAGGAGTCTGTGTTACTGAGAAGTAGTTGATAGTTTCTTTCATCTTTTCCCCACTGTTGCCTTGTAACAGTGACTGTTTGCCCCTTTTCTGCAGACACCTGAGCAATGGTCTGGATTCCTGCAGTATCCAGAGAGCAGCTCAGAAACCTTGAGAGGTGAATGGCTGGATCAACTGGTGGACGCTGATTAACCTTTGACATTGACTCCTCCATTTCTCCCTTTTAAGGCCACAGGGCAGATGAATTTTCATCTCTTGAGACTTCCTCCTCCATATGCTGTTTCTCCCTGGAGGCTTAAAAATGAAGGCCTGACCTAAAGAGTTGTTTGGTGAGACGACAGAAAATGTGAGTGATTAGTTGTGGGATGCTCCACCTTCAGAAGAGCCTTAAGGTTCCTCTTCTCTCCTCTTGAATTACAGAGCTAACACACATTGGGGAATGACTTTCTGCTTTACCCAGTACACACTGACAGAGAGAGGAACTGATATTCTCAGGGAGAATAGGTCACAGGCCAAAATAATAGGATATCTGAAGAGGACAGCTATCATAAAGGAAAACGCCCAACTGAAAAATATAAACCAAAAAAAGCAGGTGTATAAGAACAGATGGACCACAAGTTGAAGGGTATTAACTATACTAAAATGGATAAGGGAAGACATTAAAAATATGGAACAAGAACAAAAAAAATCACAAAAAAATAACCAAATGGAAATAGTAGCTTTGAAAATATAGTAGTTAATAAGAACACAATAATCGAGATAAATAATGGAATAACATGCACCTAAAGAATGTATTAGTGAGTTGGAGGATCAGTCTGGGGAAACTTCTGAGATTACAGCAGGGAACAATGAAGAAATTGTAAATTAAAAAGAAAACTTAAGAGATTATGGTGGATAGATAGAAGGACTGATATCCAGATAATAGGCAATTAGAAGGAGAGAAAAAAAAATGAAGCTGTATGAATATTTTCTAAAAGAAATGATAAACAAATTTAGGGGCCAGAGAGAAGAAAAAACTAACACTTAGGCAAATATTAGTGAAATCTAAAAAAAAGAAGACAACAAAGTTTTGAAACCCTCTAGAGCCCACGAGTGGATCATCTACAGAGAAATAAGAGTCAGACTGACAGCAGACTTCTGTACAATAACACTGAATGTGAGAAGACAATGGAGCAATACTTGAAAATATCAGAGGAAAAGAATTTTCAGCTTATGGTTTTATATTTATAAAAATTTTTATTCAAATGTAAATGTCTAAAATAAATGTTTTAGCACACAATACCTGAAAAATTTGCCACAGAATGACTCACATTGAAAACTATTTGGAAAGAAGTTCTCAAATAGGAAGAAAAATAAATATTAGAGGAGATCGGGTATTAGGTAGTCATAAGTATTGGAAGAGTTTGTAGTTATTTTAAAAATGGTTAAGGCAAAACAAAAGTAAATGAAGAAGAATTTCTATAATAATTCAATTAATATTCTAGATAACGTCCGCAACATGTGGGTAGGTGGAGCATGAAAGGTCATGAAAGCACAAGAAATTCAAGTCGGGGGAGACATACGACTGCTATTTCAAGCCACAGTTTAAAAAGCAAGAAAGAAGAATGTAAAAGCATGAAATACACAAAAGGTGGAGCAAATTGAAACAGAAAAAGAAGAGAGTAAAGTCCAAAAATGTCAGCAATCACAGCAAATTTAAATGAATTAAACTCACCACTTAAAACAGATTGTCAGATGGAATAAAGAAATGTCAAGACTGAAAGTAAAGGTGTTTAAAAATGAGATATAACAGGCAAATACTAATTATAGGGAAGATAGAGTAGCTATAGCATTATCAGACATATAGACTTTAAGGCAAAAGGCAGCCAATTCATTGAACAGAGATCATATGGTTATGAGGTGTATATATTTACTAGGTTAAATTCACACTTGTGAATTAAATTACAAAGCAAATGCTACACATCTGCTAGCAGTTCAATTAGAACCATTTGTGGTAGAAAATGGATGGGCCAGATTCATTCATTATCATGCTTACTGATCTGCATTTGCTGGAAGATGGAGCAATTATTTTCATTTTCTTCATGTGGCTGCCAGGGCTATGATTTCTTTCTGTATTCAGTCAGCAACGCCAGGTACCTAGTAATACGATGAGACAGCACTCTTCCGACATATAGGCCCCTTTCTTTATCAACATCACACTTCATGACCAAGTTTAAAGCAGCCTCATGAGTGCCACAGGATTCCATGCCCAGAAAGGATGGTCAACAGAACACCTTTGGAAACACCACTTTTCACTATCAATGGTAATCAGCTGAGCATGAGGAAGCCGGTAGGTCTTCTTCTTCTTTTTTTTTTTTCTTTGAGGAAGATTAGCCCTGAACTAACATCTGCCGCAAATCCTCCTCTTTTTTGCTGAGGAAGACTGGCCCTGAGCTAATATCTGTGATCTGTGCCTGTCTTCCTCTACTTTATATGTGGGACAATGCCACAGCATGGCTTAACAAGCGGTGTGTGGGTCTGCACCCAGAATCCAAACCAGTGAACCCTGGGCTGCCGAAGTGGAATGTGAGAACTTAACTGCTGATCCACCAGGCTGGTCCCGCCTGTAGCTCTTCTTGAAGGAGGAGGAAGTAATAGTAGCCATCTCCTGCTCAAAGTCCACAGCAACATAGCACAGCTTCTCTTCAGAGTCATTCAGTTCCATTCTCAGCTATGGTAGTGAACCTAGAACCTCTCCTGCTTGAAGTAGTCTGTCAAGTCACAGCCAGCCAAGTCCAGGCATGGGATGGCATGCGGCAGGGCATGACAGTTGTATATGGACACTACATTAGTGACACTACCCCCAGAGTCCATAACAATACGGTGGTATGACCAAAGTACTCAGGGACAGTACAGCCTGTAAAGCAATGTACACAGAGGTTCCACTGAAGGTCTCAAACACAACCTGTGGCATCTTTACTTTGTTGGCCATGGAGTTTAATGGAGCCTCAGTAAGGTTTGTTGTCGAAGGTAGATGCCAGGTTTTCTCTGTGCTGCTTGGTTGGTGATGATGTCCTCAATGGGCTACTTCAGGGCCAGAATTCACCTCGTGCTTTTAGCCTTATCACCCATGATGCTACTCTTTAGTCTCACGTCTTCCATAGTATCTTGGGCATCCAACAAAAGAGGGAAACACGGTTCCTGCATCTGTACTGAGATAACCATGAGCTTACAGACTTTCTCATGAAGTTCCTGACAGTAAGGGGTGCAGCCTCATCACCACAGCTGAGAGAGATACTGTGTATGAGTCAAGAAGAAGCTAAGCTATCCTGAAGAGGGGCGGTCATATCCAGAAAAATCATGTCTGCCAGCATCAGAGCCATCATTGTTGCTGAGTGTAGAGATTCCTTTCTCCATCTTGAGCCACCTGAGCCCATTACTGCATTGGCTGAGGAAAAGCTGGGCAGAGAGCACGTGAGAGCAGGAGAATCTCAGATTGAATTTTACTCATTGTGATTTTGAAATATTTCAAGCAAACACTGGATTGTTGCATTGAAAAAATATTACTGCTGGAAACAATAAATGTCCTATACTTTAGAGCTAACAAGCTTATGTGTAATTGTTGTGTCTTCCCCCAGTTATATTATAATATCCTGGACACGTGCTTAAAATGTATTTGTTAATTTACTGATAAATTGTCTTCATCATAGAGAATAATCATTTTACACATTGGTAGGCTATTTAAATGTGTCGTTAAATACTTTCTTTCCAAATTAATTATTAACATATGTTGATTTAAAAATGCACATAATATCACAAGAAAATTTTCAAACCATTCATGCTTCCACTGATGATTTGGTGCTAGATGGGTTTTAAGTAATTAATTACAAAAGGATTTGGTTCTGACAAGTATCATGGTGTTAAGCAATTAACACAAACATTAGCATATGTGGATTTTAGAAATCTGCCAAATAGCAAAGCTGTTGAAATAAATTAGATGGTTTTTTTGGTTTTCATTTTCTGCTTTAAACGACAAATATCTACAGTTAACACAATTAGAGAATAGCCTTTAATTTTAAGCTATCAACAAGATGTATTCGCTGAGAAAGCGACTGTATATGTAGGTGTGCCTTTATTTTATGAGGCTGGAATCCAGTCATGAAAATAAGCTCTGGTCTAGGTGCCCAGTGTCTGAAGAAATCAGATCACCAGATCTAAAGGAAAGTTAAAACATGCATGGCCCCTCGTTCCTCCCTTTCTCTTTGTTTAAATTTCTTAGGTATTTGTGTTTAAAGGAGCACTCCCAGTGTATTTGTTAAGGGCAAAAGCTTATATTTTCTTAGTCTAGTGAAAGACAAACACAAGAAAGAAATGAAGGGAGAAATGGCTAAAAGGGAAATCAGGAAATCTGCTCAGATATTCTGTGACCGCATCCTCACGTCTACATCTATGATGGCCTGAGCCACCTGGTTCGCCATGGTCTTCTAACTGCCTCTCCACATCTCTTCATGCCACCTCTACGAGCGGCCAAGATGCTATTTTAAAAAGATGAGTCAGATCCTATTTCTTACCCATTTAAATCCCTCCAGTGGCTTCCTCATGTCCAGAGAATAAAAGCCCAACACCATACCGTGGCCTATGAGACCTGACACAGTCCTGTCTCCCATCCCCCACCCCGCCTAGCTGTTCTGCCTCACTGAGAGCCACACCCCCACCATGCTCCAGCTATAAGGTCTCCTGGCACAGGACAAACCAAGTTTTCCTGCCTTAAGGCTTCCCAGCTGTTCCTCCCTCTGCTAAGACAACTCTATTTCTAGGTCTTTGCATGGCTGGCTTCCTTTAGGCTTTCACATCTGTTTAAATGTCGCATGCACAGAACTTTCCTGATCACATAAGATAATGCATCTTCTGTTCCATCTCTCTCTATTCCTTCACTCAGCTTTGGTTCTTCATAGCAAAAATCACTTCCAAAATTCTCTTGTTTGTGTATTTATTTTCTTCAGCCCCTCCTCTACTAACATGTAGGCTCTGTGAGGGCTGAGACTGGAACCATGCTGAGTGCATAGCAGTGGCTCCAGGATGTTGATTGACCACATGGATTGGGAATACGTCTGAGGATGATTTAAAAGGCTGGCACAGTGTTCAAGTTTAGGCCTCTGAATGAGATTTCTCAGAGCAATATATCCTTATCTTCTTTTTTTGTGGTTTTAGAGTATTTGGAGGATGCGAGTACCATCTGTCTTGTTTGATTATGCTTACAATCCCGTCTTCAAAGAGCGGTGTTGGAATAGCATCCATAGTTGGTTAATCAGATGCTAAGTCACATGCATCCTCA